AAACTCACATCCAACCCCATGGAATTCCCAATGCCACAATACTTTCCACAGCTGGCATAGGCTCCTCAGTGTTAGCCCCAAACCCTTCAAAATCCCTCTCTTGTACACATTGTGGCCACAGTTTTCTCCAAGCAGAATTGAAAGTCCTGGAAGTCACTCTCTCCCAACCCTTACCTATAAGGTTTATGCAGTGGAGGATACTGAAGTGATCTTTCCAGAACTCTCTTAGGGTCAGTTCAGTGTCTGAGGTCACTTCAAGCACTTTTGAAACACTGCTTTGGGGTATAGTTTTTTGAAGTTTTGAAATGACCTGCTGGTCCATGGTCTGGAGGAGAGGAGTGTATTAGGGGCAAGAACTTCATTGTGATGAAATGAAACTCCTGCACCATTTGCTCTTCTAAGTCTGGAGGATGAGCAGGAGCATTGTCCATTACCAGGAGGCACTTGAGTTCCAATTTATTTTCCAGGAGGTATTTCTTCACACTGGGGCCAAACACATTCATTGAACCAATCAAGGAAAATGTCTCACGTGACCCATTCCTTACTGTTAACCTTCCACCACACACACAGATTAGCCTTGCCAACACTGTTTTTCTTGAACACTGGAATTTTCAGTGATACACAGTAAAGGCTTTACTTTGCAATCCCCATTAGCATTACTACAAAACATGAGAGTTAGCCTGTCTTTCATAGGCTTGTGTCCTGGCAGTGCCATTTCCTCCTACGTGATGTAGGTCCTCTTCGGCATTTTCTTCCAAAACAGGCCTGTTTCGTCACAGTTGAACACTGTTGGGATTTGAACCATTCAGCCTCTATGTACCCCTTGAATTCCCGAACATATTTTTTAGCCGCTTTTTTGTCAGAACTGGCAGCCTCGCCATGCCTTACCACACTGTGTATTCCACTATACTTCTTAAATCTCTCAAACCAGCCTTTGCTGGCTTTAAAATCACAAACATCAGCACTAGTTCCAGGCATTTTCTTTACGAGATGTAATGCAACTGCCTTGCCTTTTCACAAATTATCGACTGCATAACACTATCTCCTGCTAACTGTTTTTGGGTAGTCCACACCAACAATAACCTCTCCTCTTCTTTGAGGATTTGCAATCTCTTTTTTTGTCAGCATATCTACCCCTTTTGCACACAACACCTTCCTTGATTTCCTTTCTCTCACCACAATCAAAGTGATGGTTGAATGGTGTTTGCCATACATCTTGGCAAGCTCTGAAACAACACACTCCACTTTCATATTTTTCAATGATTCTTTCTTTAATTCGATCGTATTTCCTCACTTTCTTTACAAAAGGGCTGGCACTAGCTTTCTTTGGGCCCATGGTGACTTATTTAGCAGTTGGAAGCACAAAAAAGAATGGAATATTACGAAATGTATCGTATGAATGTGTGCGATGATGGTCACTTGCTGCTAAACAATGGCACACTGAGTGTGAATGGTGTGGGAGACTGGCTTTGTGTGCGCCCTGATGCTGGGATGCCGCTCAGACACATACCAGACGGTCACTGAATCACAAGGCCAATCATGAACCACGAGGCTATATTTTGACGAAAAAAGTTGCCGAAAGTCAGATTTCATGAAAGTCATGGCCGCTGAAATGTGGGGTCCACTGTATTTTGCAGCCTCTCCTGCAACTCTTACTAAACTTTATCCCATCCATCATCAGGGACTACGTTTATGTCTATGTTCACTCCTTGAGTGATTGCCGTCGTGCCCATTACATTTGTTATTTTGTCCGCTCTCATGACCTTCATGATCCTTCTACATACAGGATAGTAACGGACATAAGTAGAGTCCATTATTTGTTTGTTGCCCATTTACTTCATCCTTTTTCTTTTCATCTTCATTCACTCTCGACTTCTCTTCAGTTTCCCCCTTGATATGCACATGTAGCATCTAAGTTTTCTCTTCCCCCTTAGGAGGTTCCAACAGTTCGTGTCTGTTCTTCCCCACTGCTGTGTGCAAAAAACTCAAATACCTACAGTTGCTTCTCACTCCCTTTTACTTAACCACTTGCACTCTAATTCTGG